TGAGTAGCCACTGCTGCACACGATGCTGCTCTTTTCCAGATCACATCCAGTAATCTGGATTTGTTGATTTGTTTTGGGTCCGATATCTTCCTGTCCAACATAACAGGCAGGTGTCCATGGATCTTCAGGAAGCTGCCCTGAAAAATAAGGTTTTAACTTTGTGGATTTTAAGACGCTGGGGCTTTTTGTTGCTGTTTTGTGCACTGGAGACCAGGAGGCTCCTTAGTATGGTGACAAATCCAAGCCAAAGGAGTTGGGTTATTATTACACGTGCAACAAACGGATTGCTTGTCTGCTTCCTTTCCCCATCCCCCCTGCTGCAATTGCCATATAGTGCATCTGACATCTGTCACATTACATGTGACATCCATGGAAAATTCCCATGGTAATTAAATCATGCCATGAAGCTCATCATTTCACCATCTGTGTACTGAAGAAGCAATGTGGTCCAGGGAACTGAGCACAGGATCAGTAGGAATCTCTTTCCCTTTTTCCAGTGTCTACATTCAGGCTGTTTTGAGCATGTTTCTTATTTTCTCCATTTCATCATCAGTAAGTGATGATCTAGGGAGCTGTTTTAATACTGGGAAGTTCTCATGGTTTATTATTTAATAGTTTAATAATCTGGAGTCTTAACTTGAATTTGGGGGTTGTGGGTGAGTTGGTTTGTGTTCTAAACAACTCTGACTTCAGATTTTTTTTCTACATCAGTGATCACACATTACATGGATATGTTTTATCCTGCCATAGAGAAAGATAGATAAATTACAGGGAAATGGAAATTATTAACTTTATTTCCTTTCTTGTTAGCATAAGCTAGTGTAGGGCAGTGATTCTTCATCATACGTTTAGTCCCATGCTCCCCACTCAGGTGAGAGCTATGGCTACATCCACAATTGTGTGTCTATTGATGATCAGTAGAGATACAGCTCTGAATGTGTTTACTATTAATGCTTCCTTATGTTGTGAACTGTTTTTGCATGACTGTGTGTGTTTAGTTACCCACTGAGTTCTTTCTTCCCTTTATCCAAAGGCGGTGATACAAAAGTAATTATATCTATTTCAGTTATAGTTATGCTCTGGCTGTCAGGTGTGTTGAAGGACAGAACAGTGAGATAAAATCTACAATAATCAGCTGTCTTGCACAGGCGAGCTGCTGGCAGAGCAGTTGTTTCAGGTGTCTTAGTTTTAGTGGAATGTTGCTTATTTAGCATATGTTGGCATGAAAATTACTGTCTCTGAGATGAGAATGAACAGAAGAGTGAGGCTTATGAAGCAATTTAGAAAGCAATTGAAAGAGGATCCTCGTGTGCAGTTAGCATGGATCTGATCCCATGTGGCTAAAACTTCTGATAAGGGTTGAAAAAATTGCATTAGCTAAATTATGTTTGGTCACTGGGCCAAATGGTTTAGAAATGAACACGTACGCCCTGTCAGAGGAAGAGGACGTTGTTATAATTAGACCTTGGGCAGAGTTCCAGGCTGTGACTCCTGACCTGAGCCGAACCTCAGATGGGGCTGGGAAGCAGGAGAGGGATTGCTGTGAGGAGCGGGTCTGTGGTAAGCTGTTGAAATGACAGCAACTTGTTTGTGTTGTGTAAAAGGGCAAAACAGTAGAACTGAGAAGAGCTGTGGGAGGGAGTTATGTGCAATAGTGGGATTCTCTCCAGAGAGAGATTTCCTATTGATTATCACTGGCGGTATATATATATGTATAGAAATATATAATTACACGTTTCATTTTTACTTGCCTGAAGTTGAGAGGCAACAGAACTTTTATTAGAACAAAACCCCCACTTTTTGTTATTTTCATAATTTTTTGTGTCAGCTTTGCTGTCAATTTCCACTCAGAAAAATGGAAGTTGCTCTTTACTTCATTTTCGTTGTTGTCTCCCAACCTTCTCATTATTTGGAAGCACATTTTTCCCAGATTTGATTCTTGAGAAAGGAAAGGCAAAAAAGAGAGAAAGGAAAGGAAAAGTTTATTAACTTGGAGATAATTAGAAAATGCTTATTTTGTTGATCACCAACAAAAATAAAGAAGTTTCAATTAGTTATTAAATAGCATAAACACTGCAACTTACAGGATTCTGAAGGACATCTACTTTACTGGCAGGTTTAATTTTAGAGAGAACAGTGCTCCAACTTAGAAATTTCTTTCATTCATTCCTTCAGTGATTTGATTCTAAAATATCTGCGCTGGATCCCTCTGTAGCAGTTCTCAATTGTTCTTATTTTGAAAGCATCTAGACACCTTACCTATCCACACAATTACAGTGTGAAAGCAGTACAAAAGTGTTATTTTGCCCCTCTATGTTAGTATGAATTTCATGCCTGCTGCTTATAGATGGACCTGGAAAATGCCAGTGTTAGGAGTATGAATTGTGCGATGGAATAATGCTGTGTTAAAGCCAGCTCACTCTTCATGTGAGCTCTGCACAGTTTTGCAGGGTAGTAAAAATTAAGTAGCCTTGAGTTTCACAAGTGTTGATCCCAAGGAACTGCAGATTCTGTCAAAAAAATCACAGTAACAAACATTGGCTTTGGTATTTCTCAGCATTGTGGATGAAGAAAGCCTGGAGCCTGACAAGCTCTTAGATGAACCTGCTTAAGATGAAAGCCAAGTAATGAAATTCCAGTGGAGGACAACCTGTGGTAGCCAGACCAGGGCTGTACTTACCCTGTAGAAAACTCTGAGCTTCACATCCATTCACATAGTTCTCATTTCCTGGTAAGGTACCTCTTTTGGTGAAGTTTATACTAGTCTTGACCTGAGCTCATAAAGGACGTTGTTATGGTCTTATCACTCCAATGGCTCAGCCAGTTTTTCCGAGGAGGATTCATTGTCCATGGCCCAGAGAATGCTAGTCCTTTGGTGGTTGGTGGGGAAGCCTTTAGACAGAGGGCCAGAGCTTGGTTGAAACTGAATTGATGCAAATGTAGCTGTATTGCATGTAAATCAGGTTTGTCTCATTGAATTCAGTTCCTTCCAAAAGAGAGTTTTGTCAAACTAATTGGTTTTAATCTCAGTCATGACCAGGTTGCCTTAAAGGGCATTGCACTTGGAATATAATACTTGAGAAGATGGTCTGTAGTGTACAAGTTTAGGTTCCAAGGCGTTATTGTGAAATCTTTTAGCAGCTGAATTTCTTAAGTGTCCACTATTGAGAGGAAACACAAATTTCCATGCATATCATTGTGATAGATTTGAGGGCATTTTGGTTTTGCTGATGGAAGCTGTGTCAATGACCAGTTCAGTTTTAGGCTGACCTTTGGCATCTCCTAGTGAGAACCCAATGTTTTCATGAATGGGCTTTTGAAGCCAGCAACATCCTGCTCTAGTGAATGCTGCTGGGACATAACACCCCTTGCAGAGCTGGCATGGAGAGCAAAGCAAAGTAGGCATGCCAGAAGACAGTACTTTTTACCAGCTTGCTTTTCTTTCAGCTGCATGAGGGTTGCAGCTGATGCCCCTTCTAATGCATAAGAGAATGTGCTGGATAAATGAATCCCAGCATAGAGTAGGACAGGTGATTCCTGCCCAGCACATAGTGCCATAAGGGTAGAGGTTTGGATGGTCTGGACCTTTTTTTTGGCTGTTGTTTGTTGCTTAGGTTTTTTGGTTTTTTTTTTGGTTTTTTTTTTTTTTTTTTTTTTTTTTTTTGTTTGTTTGTTTTTTTTGTTGTTTTTTTTTTTTAAGCGAGCATGCCAATTTCTGCACAAAACATCCCTGGAGAGCTCTGTATGTTAAGTCCCACTATGTAACTGCTGTCCTGAAGGTGCTTTTCCTTGCACAGCTACTCAGTCTCTATGAAAGCTCAAAGCAGCCTTGTTCTGGCAAGCAAACAGACCAAGGCATTGTAGGGCAGGTTAGGGCAGCAGCTGCTCTGATGACAAAGCTCAGCTGTGTTGTTGCTGATACAGCACCCAGCATCCTGTGGTTTGGTTCACCTGCCACCTCCCTCCTGCTCCCCTGCCCTGTGCCCAGGGAGACCAGCTTCACAACAAGCTTTAATTATTTACTCTCAAAGGATATGGCTTATTCTGCAGATTAAGTGAAAAAGTGAAGTCCTTAAAAATATAACACAAATAAGCCCCTGAGCTGTCAAACAACAAGTCCCTTAAAAGGGCAAAATATGTGGCTCTGTGTGCACTGCACAGATCCCTCCTTTCAAACTGCTGGCAGGAGACTTCCTGTTTGGATGGGCTGCTCACAAATGGTGTTGTGTGGTAGCGAAATCAGTCACTTCCCAGCTTCTCCTTCAGGCCTCCTTCTGCCTCCCTTTATACTCCTGATACCAAAGCCAGGTCCTGTCCAGATGGGATCTGGCAGCTGAAATGTAAATCTGAATACGTGCATTAGCACTGTGCTGTTTCTTCCTTGAATACATAAAGCAGCCCAAACTACTTACATGTGTTTGAAAATGGGATGGACAAAACGGTCCTACAGTGATAGTCCTGGCTGTGAAGGAATAAGTGAATGTTTGGTCATCTGGCTCTGCAGTGGTGAAAGATTGATGATTGTTTCATTGTTCATTTTATTTTGATCAAATGGTATACCTTTGGAAGATTCTTCCATGTGTTCTGGGTAAATTCTCCCATATATGCTTTTGTGCTTCTGATAGTTTATTTCCTTTATTGTAGTAGGGAATAAAAGGCCAATACCAGCATTCTGTGGTAGCCCTCAGCCTTGGCTTCTGAACATTGCTGATAAATCTAGCTGCTGGGAAATTACAGATTGAGTTTGTAAAACCTTCTCAGGAAAGGTTTTACAGAGTAGCGATTCTGCACTGCCATGGAAGAACATGTTAATACCATACAAAGGCCTAGCTACCTTATCTAGCTTGAGTGTTTATTTTGCTCTTTTTGGTATCAGATCCTTCTGTCCTCTTCCATCTGTTACTCCAATGACAGCCACTGTAACTGCACAGAGCTGCACAGATTCAACTGTCCTTTTTATCATCTAATGTCTGTTGGTTTTGTTTTGTTTTTTTCTACAGAACATGATTAGAAGATAGCACCATACACCATGATCATGGCCCCCCGGAAGAGGAATCGTCATGCGTTGGGGTTTCTTTGTTGTTTTGGAGGCAGCGACCTCCCTGAAATCAACCTCAAGGACAATAATCCTCTCCAATTCCTTGAGTTTTCTGTCCCAATCCCACCAGCAGAAGAGCTCAATGCCAGATTCGCCGAACTTGTGGTAAGTTTCTGCCGACAGATTGATATATTTATGAGGTGGATGGACTTTTCCCTCTAAAGGGGTAATAAAAGGATTTAAGGGATTTATTAGAGCTTCTGTTAAAACTTTTAAAAAAACCTTTTCATTCTTTTATGACTAGTTACTTGATAGGAGAAAGGTGGCAAGCAACAGGATGGATGATTAATGGCACTGGGTATAAGTACAACAAAATGTTTAAATGTGCTTATTTATTCTCATAGCACTATGAAGAATTGGGCATATTAGAAGGAAGCTCTCAAGTTCTCTAGAGAGAGCTGATGGTCAATTTCTTGTTTACAACTTTGGGATAAAATCTGCTGTGCAGTGTAATGAAGTGGAAAATCTTAGGATTTGCAGATCTGTAAAGTAGAGGACTATTTGGTTTTGTTGATGAGTAGCATTCTGCTGGTGAGGTATAAGAATCAGGTGACCATGCTAATTATGTTTCATCACACAGCTGCCTTTGAACCATGAAATGGTGCTGTTGCAGCAACAGCCATAAACAGGAAGAGAAGGAATTATTTCAGATGAACTTTGTTGTTTTCTTTTGTGGTAAATGTTGCAGACTCCAGGAGCCAGACGCTTGCTTTTCATGCCTGGCATCAAATGACTTCACTGTCTTTGTCTTCTTGTTCAGCCAGAATGCAAAACACAGGCAGAGGTCATAGGGCTGGGTTGTTTCGCAAACTGTGTCGTAAAGGTGATGCCCATTTGATGCAGCTGATTAGGTTTCTCATTACCATTCTGAGACTGGAGCTTATGTAAAGTGAGATATCTGTAAGTGTGTATATGCCTGAGGAGTGCAACTGAGGTAAGGAATAGAACAGAAAATACTGGATCTCGGCATTAGAGGAATTTGCCAGTAGTCTTCCTACGTTACACTTGTAATATTAGCACAATAAATTCTTGTCCATGACCATAGCTTTGAAATGCTATAGCAATGAAAAGAACCATGTCATTTGCATAGGCAGTTGGAGGTTAGTATATGGGCAACTATAGTATGTCATATCAAATACAGGGACAGCTGTAGTTTGTCAGATCAGTGGTCTGGCAACCTAGCCCAGGCTTCAGGTTCAAGATGGGGTCCAAAGCAAATGGCTAGGGAAAAATATAAGGCGTTGGAGACTATAAGGTGTGGCCATAGGGTGGTCTTTTCCAGGATACTCTCCAACCCTCTAACAGTTTTCAGCTCAAGGACTTCCTCAGTTGGAAGTTGCCTTCTGTGTACATAGTAAATTGTTATGGATTTGTTTTCCATTAACTTTACACTTCCCCAGTACCCATTAGGATTTTCAGTATTCTGTGGCAGGGGCAGAGGAATGAGTCAATAGGATTTGCAGCTGTTTCAGGAAGAATAATGTGTTCAGCAGAAGAGTCTACTTGCTTTGAACTAATTTACAAGTGAAGAATATCCTCTTACAGAAATATTTCACAAAATTGTGGTCTATATTTAGGTCAGTTTTCTTTTTATGTGAGACTACGTGAGTCCCTCTTAGAAAATGCAGCTGCCTGACTGTGGAGAATTCCTCATGGTGACAGGTATCTCTCAAGAGTAAGAGTGTAACCTGTAATCTGCTCTGCTGACAATTTATTTCTGGATGCTGCTTAACGGTTGGTTTTCACATGCAGAGCTCAAACTGCTGTATCAAAGTTCAGCTCTCTCCAATACCAGGATCCATTGAAGCATTCAATCTAGCCTTGCTAAAGACGTCACCAACAGATGGGCTTTGCTTCTGAACTTGTCTTGCTAAACCTTGAACTTGTTTACCTTTGGGTCAGAGTGAAAGACCTGCTTGAGCTGCTGCTGGGCTTTTGCTTACTGAGAAGGGTATCAGTTTTATGGGGAGTTTGAGAGTTTGTGGTGGTATTAATGATGCTTTTAACTTCTAGTTTTATGTCTGGCAAATATTGGTGTGTTCCATGTGCTTGCTTGTGGCAAAACAGCTCACAGCTGCCTTATGGAAGTCTATTAAAAAGTATAATTTATAATGTTTCTGGTGCAAAATTTAATGACAAGTATATGTGATGATCTGTAAAAATTTTTGGCCCCAGTAGTTTGAGAGTTGTTGGTTTTTGCTATAACTTATTAAATGTGCTGACAGCTTGTAACTGGCATATGCATTTCAAACAAATGAAGCCATTGAAACGAAAAGAGATCATATTCAGTTCTTATATTTAATGATAGCACACCAGCCATCGTTGCCTGAGAAGTGAGATGGGAGCAAAAAGTGCTATTTTTCAGAAGGGTAATGATGTACATCACACATTTTTATGAAGCAGCCAGATGGGATGGCAGTGTATGTCCATAGGAGTTCCTGATTAGACAGGTAATGTGAGAGCAGTTGAGGGCTTTATGTGCGAGAGAACCTGGGCTGGAAACTGGGCTGGCAAAATGCAGACTTTGCCTAGAAGGGCTAGTTTGTCCACAGGTCTGGATTAATGCATGTTCTATGAGACACTAAAATAAACCAGGCTACATCTGTATTGACAGCTCAGATGAGATTTTAATTGGATTAGAAAGATTCAGTCTGTAAATGCACCAGTGTAAATCAGCGACCTGGAAGTGCCTGAGAGAGCTCTGTGCTGTGTGCTAGCTCCCTGCTGCTTATCCGTTAGGGTCTGGTCTGGGTGCACTTGTACTATATAAAAGCCAGATTTGAGTGTAAAGCCTTTTGACCCAAATCCCCAAGTGAAATGATGACACCAACCATCATCTGAGATCTGTAGTGAGAAGAGCATTTGTGTTAGCTCCCTGAAGCAGGCCCAGGGGGTATAGCATCATCTTGCCATCTGCTCTGCAAAGGGTATAATGAAACATTGGTGTGGTTGAATGAATTTTCAAAATACTTATTTTTTTCCCTTGTTGCAGTTAAAATCTGGGGCATTTTTCCCATGGAAGAGTTAATGACAAGAAAGCTGAGCATAGCTGTGCTGGAGAAGTCTCCCTTGTGATGAATTTTCCAATCCAGTAAATATTCAGTGTGTTTCTACCTCCCTTTCTGAGGAAAACTGGCATTTTGAGGATCAGGAGCATGTCGTCTTCTGCTGTTGTTGTGCTACTTAAACTAGTACCATGAAAAGTGAATTTGGAGATGGGGAAGAAATTAGGAATGACCCATTCCAAGTTTTCAAACTTGCTTGTGTAGTCTCCAGACTGAGGCAGATACATGTGTGTGAGCTGCTCTGTTTGGGAGAAGTACCCAGACCATCCAGCTATGTAATGGCAGCTGCCTGACTGGACTCTGACCAAGGCAGTGACTGTGAGATGATAAGCTGATGCTGATTTCAGCTGAAATGCCTGCTCTTGTTGCCACTCAACCAGAAAAACAATTCTAGGCTTATGTGTTACTTGAAGCTGGATGCTGTGTTTGTGCCTTGTCTGATTAACTAGAAAATTAAAACAGAAAGAGTTACTCCTGATAGGTCCTAAATTCTATCTTGATTTATTCCACTGGGAACATGTGCAGGGAGTAGGTCTGAATAAACACGATGACTTACGGTGATTTGGAATGATTTGGTTTGGGCTAAGACAGGAGATGATGTACCAGCTCTCAGGCCATCTGCTGGCAGTGACTGCCTTGGGATGAATGCAGTGATAACAGTACAGGTAAGTTCTTATCAAAGTCTAGATGCACAAAATACAAAGCAAACAAAAATATTTCTGACAAGTTTTGTCCTCCAAAAGGCTGTTTCTGTGAAAGAGGACAGAACAGCTGGCTTTAGCATGTTCCCTTCATTGAACAAGCAGAGAGAGAAGCTCTAGGCAGCAGGGTGTGTGGATTGGTCCTGCACCTTGCAGATTGTAAAACTGGCCCTACTTGACCATCGAGGCTGATGTGACCAGCATCACTTCTGTTTCCATACTGCTGTATAGTGGTAAAGTACTGCTGCAGATGGTGGTCTGTTGGCAGACTCCAAAATGGTTTTGCGCCTGCTGGCAAAAATATCTGAGCTAGACACACGTTTTTCCTTATACAAATTTATCAGCTGAACAGGAACTACAGAAGAATCTGGAAGAACTATTGTAAGGCAAAGGAAGTAACTTTTTTTCATGCAACAGCTTCTCCGTGCCCTTGTTCATATTTGTTAGCAGCAGTGTATTCTTTTCACAGTGGATTCTGATACTTTGTGCTCATTGTTAGAATCCTGGACTCTTCTTGGTGGTTAAAGGTGGTGTGTGGCTTTAAAGATTTTGCCATCTAGATCTCTTATAACAGCAGCCTGATCCCAGGTTGGAATTGAGACCATATCAAGAAGGGTGACTTAAATGCTGGCAATTCAGAAAAAAAAAAAAAAAAAAGAAAAATATGAAGAATGCTAGCACAGAGGAAAGAGCAGTGTGAAAAATTTGTTCTTTTGTTGTTTCTGTTTTGTTAGTGACTGTGAGATGGTTGTGGTATTTGAGAAGGTGGAGTGCAAGATTCTCTATTTCAAGATGCAAGGTCCTTAGGAAAGAAATAGAATTGTCTTTTGAGTTCATGTTTTCAAAGTTAATAGTATCATTATATCCTCCAAACTTGAATGAGTTCCTTCAGCGCATTAGATTCTTATACTGGGGAAGATTTGGGAAATGCTTACTACTATACTTTCATGGTCTTATCTGCCCTTGAAGAATTCTTGCATTTAGCTCAGGTGAGATATTGACTGGAATTCCCTGTCATTCTCTTACATTGCATTTGAATCCATTTAATTCTCAGTTTGGAAATTTTTTTTTGGTTGGTTTTTTTTTTTAATTTTTTTTTTATTTTTTTCTCTGAGTCCCTACCCTTTTATTCTCCTTTTGGAAATTTTTTTTTTTTTTTTTTTTTTTTTCTCTGAGTCCCTAAGGAAGGGTTTTGTTGACTTTCTTGGTTCACAAAAGCTTTTTGTCCATATTGCTATTTACCATCTTTACAGGCTTTTTCAGAAGTAAACTTAATGGGTACTTTTGGCATAAAATTTAAAGGTACTTTATTTACAGTTGAGGAGCAGCATAAATACTT